CCATAGATTGTGAATTTCTGGCCCCTTCCCTTACACTCTGGGCATAAAGTTCTGAAAGTACCTGAACTTGGGGTTCAGGGATTAATTGATTACAGCGAAAGCTGTACCCTCTGAACTTTGCTGTAGCCAAAACTAGATATTGGTATCTTTGGTGCCCTGCCTCGTCTGCCTGTGGAACACAAGAACAAATCAAACCTCCCCTGTCCCTCAGCCACTGCTTCTGCGGGGCCCAGACTTGGGGAGCTCGCACATGGCTGTGGTCACCTTCCCCCACAAGAGAGGCTCATCCCCTTCCCAGACTTTGCCTGGGGTGCCTTGATTCTGACCCCAACAGGAGGCACATACCTTTTGTTCATGGCCATGCATATGGATAGACACCCCGGATCAGGGCAGACGGGAGGAATCTCCTGCTCCTGGGCCTCCGCACCAGAACTTCTTCACTGATGACAATGACAGATTTGAGGAGAAAATATGGTGAGAGCAGTATCTTGGTCTGTGTCATTCCAGGGTATAAGGGCGGGGAGGAAGAAGAAAATGTAGTGTGAATTGCTGTTCTTTGAGTCTGAGGGAGTGCCAAGTTTTTGTCGGACCTCCTCAGGTCATTTTTGGTTTGCTTTGTGCTTTTTCATTTTCACCTTGGTCTTCTTGGTTGATGTATCACTTTCTCTCCTATCCAATTTCTTGAGGCATTTTGTAGCTGTTGCAAATCTAGATCTACATTTGTACGTTTATAATACTTCAAACAGGAATTACTGATTCAATGGGAAATCGATTTTTCTGTCAAATGTTACCACCAAGTGAATATTTTCCACAAATAGCTTACTCAACTGGTTCTGTCCTGTTCTGATGTTGTTGAATTAAATTCTGAGATTTGTATTTCCTTTTGAATATTCCACAATACCCTGGACTTGGTAAATTGCAATTTCTTGATAATCAATCACTCAGGGAGGGACTTCTATTGTCTTCCTCCTTTCTCTTGTGAACGGAATGACAGTCCTGCCACCTGCCCCCACCAGCAACTAACTATAATTTCTCTCCTTTCCAGTCTAGCAATTCTCCTTCCCTGTGGAATTCTAAAGTTTCTTCTATTCTACTACCCAGATAAAAATCAAAGCCTTAGTTGGCTTCTGCCTGTCATTCAGATTAATGTCCATCTTGTGTGATCCACCTGATTTTTTTCATTCTTAATACTTTTCCCGCATGTCCTTGTCAGAAACAGAATACTATAATAAAAGATGTCATTTACAGATATATTATGAAAATATCAAGCACACAAAAATAACATCAAATATCTCATTGGTATTCAAATTTCTAAAGGTCTCCTGCTATAAACATTTTAGTTGCTTTAATGTGTTTGAGGATCCAAATAAGCTCCACACATTACAACTATTTACTGTCTTTTAAGTAATCCATATTCCCCCTGCTCCCCAGCTGGGATTCATGTTATTATATGTACCACTGGAATAAATTATTTTTAAGGTCCTTCTCTTAGTGAAAGGTGGGGACCTACCAGTGATGTACAGGTTTAGACATGAGGAATCCTGCAGTTATGCCATTAAAGCTCAGCTTTTTGACTGAAAAAGAGCACATGGATACTGTCTCATTAATTGTGCTTTCATTCAAGGGAACTCTCAGAGCACTTAGTGAAACTCACATACACATATATGACACACAGTGGATTTGCCAGGAGACACTAAGTTAAAATCTTTGTATTTCAGCAAAAGGGAAGGATGTGCTAACCTTCAGGCTAGTCTTTTATTTGCTTTCTTTTCTTATTAAATCAGCAATCCCCCCCCCCCCCGCAATATGTTCTTCAGTACCAAGACTGGCCTTTCATGCTATTCCTCCTTACGATTTTCTATCAATGCTCTCTAATAGCCAAACACTATGTTTTAGTCAGCTTTTGTGTCACTGTGATCAGCTGAGAGTGGTTTAAAAGAATTATCCCAGGGTAGATTGTCATAGCAATGCACAATGTATGCATATATAGAAATACCACAGGGAAACCCATTGATTTGATTAATTAATGCATGTGAATAATTAATAGTAAAAACTATTGCAGCTGTGGGTTTAGCTCAGTATAGTAGAGTGCTTGCTGGCATGCTTTCTGGGGCTGATCTTCAGCACTGGGAAAGAAAGTTATTGCACATTGATTTTCTACCCCATTACATGTCTAGAACCAGAAGTTCTTTAATAGATGTGCACACTGAATCAATCTGGTAGGCATGTACTGAACCCTGAGTAACAAGTGCTATCTCAGTTACCAGATTGATGAGATTAGATCATCAATCTCAACTATCTATCAAGCTATCTCAACTTTTTATTTTTATATGTGTATATGACATAAAAACATTCTCAGTAGTGACTTCTAAACTTTCAACACAGAAAATATGAATTAAATGGGTCTCAGGATTTCAACCCCTCTTCAAGTAAGGATCTTCTGTTCCTAGCAAAGGAACATTTTCTTGTGATCTAAGCTTTCTCTTTAATTAATTATTTTTATTACAAATATCAAGTGGGCTTTTATAGGGACACACAATTTGTATGTAAACTAAAGTCCGTGGAAATTTTGGTGCTTGAAACAGGATTTTTAACATTTATTTTTAGAAGAATAGTTGTAGCTGTGAAGGAATCAATAATCTCATAATGTTTCTAATTACTTTTCAGTCCAATAAGAAAAAATGTAAATTGGTCAGTAACTGACTCAGGCAGTGGTAATGAGGAAAAATACCCAGTGTTTCCAATGTAGGTATTGCTAAAGGAATTTGCACATCAAAGTTAATACACTTCTTTTTCCTCATTTTTTTCCCTTATGTATTATACAGAGATGTATGTTTGAAGTCTTATCACTGTGGAGAGGTCTGCAAATAGTATAGTAATGTTTTTGCAGATCTATATTCTGCTAGCAGCTCTATCAGCAAAGAACTTCATCTCTCAAGTTTATGATGATGAATCTGTTCAAAATCTTAAAGGAATAAAAAGATTTTACTATATTGTAGTTCTGTCTTATTTTCTTTCATCCTTAAAAATAGTTAACTATCTTTTGGAGGTGAACTTTACCGATTATTTAAGATAATAGTTTAGTTTTTCAAGGACAGAAAGTAATGTGCTTAATCAATATAGTGGCTTCTGATAAATAAAAGTTATAAAATAATGCACATTTTACCACTTATGTTGAAAAGTGAAGTCCTGGGATAGAAATTCCCTGAGGTAGTGATATAATCATCTCTTTGTAAATATTTGAAAAAAACAACTAATCTGAGATCAGTATGCCTTCTTACTTTGTAGAGGATGTTCTTTAATGAAATTATAACCCCCTTAGATTTTTCTTGGGGAGGTAGGAGAAGGTGACTCAATAAATTATAATAATACAGGTACTTATTGAGATTAGTACATAGTGTTCAACAATATTTTAATGAAGACTTAAAAACTGCAATTAGACTAAGAACAAACAGAAACACTTTAAGTCTTCAAAACTGCTTTGAGTACTAGTGAGCAAATGAGGACAAACAACTTTGGAGAAAATAATTTTACTTAGTAAGCTTAGAAGATAAAATGTAATTTTTGAAAAATATTTATTTTTGGCTTTTTCTTAAAAATAACATTGAAACAGTGATCTCAGTCTGTTCTTTGTATACTTTCTTTCATCTGAAATATCTCCATATAGTTGGAAAATGAATGAGGTTATTCAGCAAAGACTATTTAACCTTCAGTTTATTCCAGCGTACATAAAATCTTATAGATCTTTATTAATATATATTTTACTTAACCTTTGGGAGAAAGAAATCACTGAGTTACTATCATTAGATATTGTGTTTTAGTGTTGAGGTAGAGTATGTTCAATTTTTTAATCTCCCTAAGTCAGAATTTTACCCTGAGAATTCATGATTTCATTAGCAAATTGATGAACTCACAGGACACCTGAGACCCATATTAAAATATTATCAAATCACACTTTTAATGCTGAATATTGTTATAGGATTTAGAAGTCTTTTAACTATTAGAATAGACCAATTTTGCGATATAGGAAGAAAACTCCAAAGTGTTCTAGAGGTGATTGATTAACCTATAAAAAGTGTTGTTCTAATTTATTCCCAAATAGAAATTTAATCTAATTTATATTCTTTTTAAACGTGTACAAAATTAGAAAAGGCTCATTCATGGGAAAAAGAAATTGGTTGTAAAGAATAATGCAATTATAATAGAAATGCAGGAAAATGTTATGTGGACAGATTAAAAAATTCTATTCTTATGATAAAATATTCTGAAATCATGATATTCCAAGGAAAACTGAAAATTAACAGGACATGATAAGGAGTGTATGTCAGTTGATGTATTTTATATTTTTGTCTCATGGGAGAGGTTTATTTTCTTACCTTTACACAAACTCCCCATGGTTGTATAAATGACATGAGATTTATATGATATAAATATTCTTTCAGATTTTGTATTCAAATCTTAATCTGATTCCTGATTTGCATATACTCTTTCCAGAATATATTTGTATTTAGATATTTTTACAAAGAATAAAGGAAGTTAGGAAAGGTCTTTTAGGAAGTTCATGAGGCTTCTAGAGGTCTACCTAATACTTATAAAATCCCTTTAATTTCTAAATAAAAACTTTAAAGGGATAATTGCTTTCTGGTTATAAAGAGGCAGCTGGATGCAGTGGCACATGTCTGTAGTCCCAGCTACTTGAGAGGCTAAAATTTGTTTAGCGGAGGAATACCAGGCCAGCCTAACCAAAACAAATAAATAAACAAACGCATAAGTAAATAAATAAAGCAATCAGATTCACTTGGTTTAAGTTATAAGTATTAGTAATGATGGAGACATGTCAAAGGAGTAATCCCTTTCTTTTTTGATAACTTTATATATCTATGTGTCTAAATTTATGTACATATATAAATGTTTATATACTTTTTTCAGATAATAGTGTAATCCAATTTAATAGTATCAATACCACTTAGAAATGAAAAGTGATTCAAAAATAATTACTGGCATAGGACCTTACTGACCACAGGCAGCTAGGAAACAGATGGTTTAATGGGTTGGAAAAATGCAAGATGACTATACAAAGTCCATTTCAAACCTTGAAAATAAACTTAGTTTTTACATTTTCATGCTGATTTGATTCAGATTTTTCCGACAATAAGAAAAACTAGAAAATAATTAGGTAAGTTGATATTTATTTATTCCAATATTTGTCCCATATTATTTTAGGTTTGACTGGAAAATAATACATATTTTGGACAAAGTATAGAAAAAAAAAAGAACATGTGGATAACATGATACACCTTACTTTCTATGATTGAGATTTGACAAAGGATAAAGTTTTTTTAAAAATATTTTTTAGTTGTAGTTGGACACAATATCTTTATTTTATTTATTTATTTTTATGTGGTGCTGAGGATCAAACCCAGGGTCTCACATGTGCTAGGCAAGCACTTTACCACTGAATCACAACCTCAGCCCCAGGATAAAGTTTTAAAATCATAAAATCCAGTTTTTTTCCCAAATCAGTAATAAAAACTTCTACATTCATAATAATTTATCTTCTTGGTGGAAAAAAATGAAAAGATTTTGGCTTAAGTTATGTATAGCATCCTCAATTATGTCTCACATGTATGTGCAAGCTTTGGGTCTGTTTGACTAAATATCAAAAAGAGAATTGATGAGAAATAGCAACTTTGTATGTGATCCAGGATAGAAAAGGGAGAGAGTAGTCAGAATTTCCTGTTTTATTTTTTCCTTAATGAAAAATATTCTAAACAAGACTTTGCTAATTATCATGTGTTTTATTAATTTCAAGCACTTGATAAATTTTGGCCTTTGCCACTTCTTCACAGATGTAGTTGCTTGCAAGTGTAGCAGTACAGGTACACTACATTCCATAGCCTGCATAAGGCCTGGGTTCAAGCCCAGGATTTTGAAAAATTCTTTAGATTATACAGGTTTCTTTCTAGTCTTGATATTAACCTAAGTATTAAAGGGTGTACAAAAATATGGATAAGAATTGTGTTAAGACTGAAAACAGCATTAAAAGTACTACCTCCATATAGACTTCTAGAAGTGATGTTACAGGATCTACCCGGGCCATGCTATCTTTCAAGAAGTATATTATTCTGTCTGCTGCTGCCTGTCTACCCCTTTTTGAATATTCTAGTTTACACAGAGAAGCAGGGTGGACCCTGCTGTGGTTTTTTCACTCTTCTTGCCAGCAGGGCAGCTCTCCTGGGGTGAGAGGGGGAATCTGTCCAGTTCTCCTCAGAGCTGCAGCAGGTGTTCTCAGTCAGCTGTGTGTGGGTTGCAGTGTTGTTTCCAGGACTCTCACCTAACAGTATGGCAAAGCATTAGTGCATAGTGGTCAGTGAAATGTCTAACCATTTAGGTAAAGCATTTCTAAAATGTTTGATTTAATATTGAGATCATCAATTCTCTATTTCTTCTTGTTCAAATTAAGCATTAAGTAATTGGATATTTTGAATAAATGCAATGTTTAAGAGGAATACTATTTTGGGAGACTGAATTCTCAGCCCACCTACAGAATAAAGCCAATATAAACATTTTTCAAATATATGCTGACCTTTGTGGTTTACAAATAAATGCTTTTTAAAGGTTTCAGCTGCATATACAAATTGATTTAGTTGCAGACCATTTGAATCAGTATCACCAAATCTTTATAATTTTAGGAATGGTACAATGAAGGTGAAGAAGAAATATTTACTTTGCAGTGAGGTATTTGACAAACTAAAACGAATTTACTATTTAGTTGACATTCAGCATTGAATCAATCATACATTACATCCTGTTCCATATAGAATGTTATGCCTTGAACTTTTCATGATTAATTTAACATAAGTGGAAAAAATTCTTTTGATGCTATTTACTTACTTGTGCTAGAGTTGATTTATTTGGATCATTACACTAATTCTTTTAAAATGAAATTAGAATATCACTGATTCAATAGAAGGAAAAAATGTAATTTTTTGTGTGCCACACATTCATTATTGCTATAAGGTACAAATATGATTTTCTAAAATAAGCTTTGGAAGCAAAATTAATGCCAATGGAAACAAATTCAGTTAAAGCATTTGTTTATTAATAGTTATAAGTAAACTGAATTTATTATATGCAGTTTTCTAGTGACTACAGTCAGAACTTCAAAAGTGACTTTCTCTAGGCATACTGTTATGTAACCTGCCTGCTGGTGAAAGAGTATGGCACAACTGGTACTCACCCTCGGTGGCAAGAGGAGGTAAAAGACAAAGATACATGTATATAGCCACTTCAATAAGCCTGAGATGAATTTAGGTTTTTGTTTTTGGTGGTAGGTAATGGATCCAGGACCTCATGCCTGCTAGGTAAGTCGTCTACTATTGATCTCTACTCTTAACCCACAAATTCCTTCTTAATAAAGGTAAGCTTTAGGGAAATAATACCATGCCTTCTGGTGAAAACATATATGGTTTAAGAATACATCTGGAATCAATGTCCTGTGTTTCCCTTCTCCAGTTCATGTTAATGGCAGTCAGCTATAGTGCTATTAATGATCTCTTTTGTTTGGGAACAAAGTAGAATATCTGACAGTCAGTTTTCTCTTCCCCTCTTATTAGCCAGAAACTGAGAAAATAAGTGTCTCCAACACGGCCTTCTTTTGAGGAGTTCATAGTCATATAGAGGAACAGATGAAATATAACTAGGAAGTAATTAATGTGATCAGTATAAAACTGATGTATATATGAAGTGCTGAAACTATTTACCTATTTTTGACTTTGTCCAAAATTGTTTATCAAAGGAAAATGAGCAAGATAGGTAACAGAATCATTATTTTGAAAGACACTTTCATTTTTAAGGGTGGACATGCTTCATGCCCCACACCAGATGATAAGCAACATGGCATTTGGAAGATTTAATTCAGGGATCAATAACTTGTTTCATGATCATTCTAAATGAGCATTTTCTCTTGCCACCTGGGCTTTTCAGCTTTTAGTGTGTAAACTATTTTTGGTTTTTGTTTCTCTAATATTATCTCTTGTCAAATATACTGAGTACATGAAACTCTAATAAATCTAAAAAACCTATGTAGCCAATAATATATGTTTACTTATGGGTATAGACCGAGGAGAGGGATACCTGGGTCAAATGGTGGTTCCATTCCCAAATTTCCAAGGAATCTCCATACTGCTTTCCATATTGGCTGCACCAATTTGCAGTCCCACCAGCAATGTATGAGTGTACCTTTTTCCACACATCCTCACCAACACTTATTGTTTGTCTTCATAATAGCTGCCATTCTGACTGGAGTGAGATGAAATCTTAGAGTGGTTTTGATTTGCATCTCTCTAATTGCTAGTGATGATCATTTTTTCATATATTTGTTGATTGATTGTATATTCTCTTCTGAGAAGTATCTGTTCAGGTCCTTGCCCCATTTGTTGATTGGGTTATTTGTTTTTTTTGGTACTTAGCTTTTTGAGTTCTTTATATACCCTAGAGATAGCTCTCTATCTGATGTGTGAGGGATAAAAATTTGCTCCCAGGATGTAGGCTCTCTGTTCACCTCACCAAGACTTAAAAACAGCATACTACAGGGACATAGCCACATCAATGTTCATAGCAGCAAAATTTACAATAGCTAAACTGTGGAGCCGACCTAGATGCCCTTCAGTGAATGAATGGATTAAAAAAATGTGGCATATATACACAATGGAATTTTACTCAGCAATAAAAGAGAATGAAATCAATCGTGGTATTTGCAGGTAATGGATGGCGTTGGAGAAGATAAGACTAAGTGAAATTAGCCAATCCCAAAAAAACAAATGCCAAATGTTTTCTGTGATATAAGGAGGCTAACTCATAGTGGGGTAGGGAGGGAGAGCATGGGAGGAATAGATGAATTCTAGATTGACCGAGAGGTGGGAGGGAAAGGGAGGGGGTGGGGATTAGAAAGGATACTGGAATGTGATGGACATCATTACCCAAAGTACATGTATGAAGACACAAATTGGTGTCAACATACTTTATATACAACCAGAGATACGAAAAGTTGTGCTGTATATGTGTAATAAGAATTGTAATGCATTCTGCTGTCATTTATTTTTTTAAAAATCAATAAAAATGTTTACTTAGTCTTTTTTTCTTCTATTATAATAGAATCAATGTACAAAGTCTAAAGCCAGTATTTGTTCATTTTGATGTGAAATTGGTGATCATCCACAAGTTACATGGCAGAGAATAATTTCTAAAAAAAAAATCCATGATGATTTACATCTTTTTAAAATTTTTTTAATTGTTGATGAACCTTTATTTATATGTGGTGCTGAGAATCGAACCCAGTGCCTCGCACATACTAGGCAAGCGCTCCACCACAGAGCCGACAATCCCAGCCCAGAAATAATTTTTGATTGGGATGATGAAGCCAGAGCTCCAGAAGAGTGGCTGAAATGAAAATATCCTCCTAACAAGCAAGCTTAAGAGTTTTATTTTGCTAATAAAAAATGATACAAATAATCCTTCTTGAAAGACTTCTATTTCCTCTCCTTGAAAGTGGTGTCTGGATTTGGATCAGCCGCTGTTACTTCTAGTCTATTAAGATACCTGAACATTTTGAAGTAATAGAGGCCACATTAGGTTATGAGTTGATGCTGTTTGGCTGCAAATACTGTATGCACAATAGTAAATATTCATGTTATTTTAAAACTAATTTATATTTGTTTCTGGAATGAATAATAAAAGTATTTGCTTTCTATTAAATTTTATAATGTGGATAATCATTTACTAATTCTTGGTTTTGACCTCATGATTCATGCTTTATTTTTGTAGGCTATTATAAGGCTCCTCACTATGCAGTTCTTCTCAAAGAGTCTGACAGATGTGGGATTTCCTTAGCTAATTACATTCCAGAGGAAGATATAACAATAATTATGGGATATGAGGTATAGCATCTTGAGTTACAAAATTTTTTTCCAGGTCTTATTTATTTACAATGAACTCAAATAGACTGTTAAATGAGAATACTGATAAACATTTCTAATTTTAATTTTTTTAGTTGTAATTGAATAAAATTTCAGATACCTTATTTTAATAGCATTTCTTTTTAAAAAGGAGTTTAGATGACATTAAACAAAATAAGCCAAGTTCAGAAAGACAAATATCATGTTTTCTCTCATATGTGGAAGTGAAAGGGAAAAATAGAAAAAAGGGATGTCGTAAAAGTAGAAAGGAGACAATTGGTGTAGAGGAAGAGGATAAGAAGGAGAGAGGAGAGGGGGTATTGGGTAATGAAACTGATCAAATGATATTATTTGCATGTACAAATGATACCTACTTGTTCTGTATCATTAATATGTACCAAAAATTTAAAAAGAAGCTTAGGATATATAGTAGGTCTGTTTCTTAGAAAAAAAAATCCTTTGTCTTTCAGAAAGTAGCAATTGTAATTTGGAATTTTTGGAAAGGTGTACAGGATGCCATAGATAAAACCAGTCTAATTTCTGAAGGATTTCTTTCCATAGCCACTCTACTGAAGTGCAAGATTACATTCTACAGATTTTTTTTGAAGCAACAATCTTTATTCTTTTAATTTAAACAAGTGCTTGCTAACTAAAAAAAAATTTGCCTTAGGTATTTCATGCTCAATTGATAATCTTCTTTATCAAATATGATGGAACCCAATATATTATGAAGCCCATGACTAAGAACAATCTGCCCACATGATTAAATTTTAGTTGTTTCAGGGCTATTTAAGAAAAGTAAGAAGTGATGAACACTACATCCTGGAATATGTTGTTGGAAAGAAATATTGATATATGTTGGAAAGAAATATTGATATAAAGGAAAAATTCTATGTCCTAGATGTATGGAAAAATTCTAAATCCTAGGTGAATGGAAAGCATACGGTGTAACAGAATTGTGATATGATCGCTTATAAATAATATATAATGCGATAGCAATGGTTTGTACTTGTTAAATAGCTTAAGGATCATTATATATCAGTGTATGATCCTGCTTTGTTTAAATAGGTAGGCAATACCTTTTTATGGCTCTGAAGTACTTCAAATGTGGCAATGTAACTAAGGAAGTGCATTTAAAATTTTTAAATTTTAATTTCAAAATTGATACTTGATCTAATTACTGGATAACTTAAACATGTTCGGAACAACTTGGATATGTGAATCAATTTTTCCAACTGCTCAGTATAGGGATTTAATACAGATCAAGTATTCATGATAAAAATTTAGCATATGAATTGAGATGTGCTGTAACATAAGATATACTGGATTTTAACAGACTTAGTACAAAAAAAGAATATAAGTATATTGTTAATAATTTTTTAAATATTTATTATATACCAAAATCATAATACTCTGGATATAATGACTTAAATAAAATACATTACTAAAATTACTTTTAACTGTTTTTTTTTTACTTTTATAATACATGTACTAGGAAATTTTGCATTACACATGTAGCTTGTATCACACAGGTGTTAGTATCATCTAACAAGCACTGTAGAAGAGAGTCTAATTCATACATTATGTCAATTTTGGGCATCAATATTTCCCTAGTATACCTTATTATCCTTTTATCAAAAGTATTATCATTCTTTTTGTTAATGTTGTGAAGTTGTTGGTCTGCGTCTTCATAAAATGGTCTGGATCTAGTAAGAAAATTATCAGATATGTTGAGAAAGACAGTCTTCTATGAATTTCCTCTTCCCTACATTTCTTGCTAGGTGTGACTACTCTTTACCTGAGCTATTTCTAAGACTGAGTTTGCAGTGAGCATCTGTGAAGGAAGAGGCAATGCCTTCTAGGACAAAGAGGTTTGCTTTTGTTCATCATAAAAAGCAGTGAATTTTTCAAGCTCTGTAGTCCTCAGCTATAAGAAATCTGCTGAATGTGTAGTTATGTTTATGGCCATATTGTGCTTCCCTATGTAACATGGGACAACGGGAGCCAATGACAATATGCTGATGTTCATGCTCCTTTGATTCTGTTCCTGGAGTCTCATGTATTCTGTCAGCATCTAAGAAACTGTAACAGGCTAAATTACTAGTTTGTAAATAATCAAACTCATGAATTTAGAAAATTATTAGGTCTGATGGGATGGTAAGATTTCCTTTTATATGTAAAAATTTTAAGTTGTGGAAGCCTAGTTTTTATATAAAATGTGGTGTCATATAAGAACATGGATGAAATAAAAGTGTCAGTATTTTCCTATATTGTAAATATCGTACATGCACTTGTATGAATTGTTGGTATACAGAAGTGTGCATATATTACATTTATTTCTCAAGAACATTTCTCAGTTAGTTCTTGAAAACAAAAGGTGAACATTCTGTGGAACTATATTCAAGGACTTACAAATTGTATAAAGAAACAGTTTATCTATTATCCAACATATGTACTCAGGACAAAAGGAAACTTTATAAAAAGTACAAAAATAGATAAAAAAATACAAATACAACATATTTTGTTTGGAACTTTAGAGATGTTTTTTTTTCTTCTCTTTCCCTCTTACCTCAAAAGTTATAAGTACTTTTGAAGCAGCATGTATTGTTGCACTTTTGATTTTTTGTTGTACAGTTAATGAACTTGAGGATGACTGATGATTATCTGGTTGGCCATCCCATTCTTTTGTTTCTTCTTCTTTGATTAGTAAAGGTTTTCCTAGGGTTTGGCCAACAAGGTTACAGACTTCTTGAGCTTTGCGCCATGCATTCTCAACAGCAACAAGACAGGCTTGCCGTCTGAGGAATTAAATGCAGAGATTATTAATATGGCATTCTCTGAATAGTTTTGTTTAAGCAATTAATAATTTAGTTAATAATAATAAAAATGTGCTTAAACTTACCGAAGATTCTCAACAGAGCCTGGAGTATGATAGAATTGGGGTGGACTGATGACAACAGAGCTATCTAGCTTTTCAACGAGGAAATTACAAATATTTTGCATCTTTCCAAATTCAGTAAATGTAAGGCAAACCTGTAAATGAAATGACACTTGGTATTATTTTCATGTCTAATGTACTGTTTCAAATTTATTTTTTTAAATATGAGTAAAAAAAGTAAACCTAGATTATAAGGTTCTTTTATATTATATAATAAAAAAGAAAGACTATTTGATACTTAAATTATTTTGCTATTAAAAGACTCTTGCTGGGGCTGGGGATGTGGCTCAAGCGGTAGCGCACTCGCTTGGCATGCGTGCGGCCCGGGTTCGATCCTCAGCACCACATACAAACAAAGATGTTGTGTCCGCCAAAAACTAAAAAATAAAAATAGTTAAAAAAAAAAAAAAGACTCTTGCTTATGAATGTTGAAATTTATCTATATTGACCTGAATATTTAAAATTCATTTATTCAATTTGAATTTCTATGAAATTGGAGGATTTCCCCTTCAGTTTTATTTTTTGGCTAATTTCTAATCCTGATAACTTTTTCTTTTTCTTTAATCTAATCTATGCCATTAGATACTGATAAGCAGCAATTACATCATACTTCACTGCTGCCACTAGTCATTTTCACATCTGTTTGCAGAAGCTAATCTATTTGACTATGTTCTGCATTGTATAAGTTGAGGTCATCTCATAATTCTTTGTCTTTACTACTACTACTCTATTAATCATACTATGATCTATGTGGACATCTTCTAATATCATAGTTTTTTTTTAGCTTTATAATTTCAAATATATATAATAGTAGATTTAAGAATTTGAAGAATTCCCAGACATCAATTACCTAACTTCAAAAATGATCACATCATGGCACCATTTATGTATTTATTTATTTTAAATACACTATAAATATTTTAGTGTAAAGTTCTATGACTTTTGATAAATATGCAGAGCTCTGCAACTATAATAATAGACTTGTTTCCCTAAATTCCCTCAAAGAACCCCCTTTATTAAATCAACCCCTACCCCCGGCAACCATTGGTCTGTTGTTCTCTTGTTATACATTGAACTTTTTCTGAATGTCATATAAATGAAAGCATACAATATGCACCTTTTTTGAGACTCACTTCTTCCACTTGGCACAATGCATCTGTGATTCATCCCTATTCTGGCATAATAGTAGATTAATTTTTTATAATTTTTTTTAGTTGTAGATGGTCAATAGTTGGTTAATTTTATATTCTGTTATATGAATATAAACATAGTTTTTTTGAAAACTCTTTAGTTGTGTCCAATTTTTGGCTATTATAAATAAAGATGCTGCTTTGTCAAAGTGTTCTAGATCCTTTGAATTTCTACATGTATTTTATAGTCAGTTTGTCAATTTCTATCGGAAAAAAAAGCCTAGCTGGGATTTTTTTTTTTTTTTACACTGGTAGTTGAACCCAAAGACAGTTTACCTCTGAACCACATTCCCAGTCCTTTTTATTTGAGAGAGGGTCTCACTAAGTTGCTTAGGACTTCACTAAGTTGCTGAGGCTGGCCTAAAACTTGCAATCCTCCTGCCTCAATCTCCTGAGTCACTGGGATTATAGGCAAGCACCAAGGTGCCTGGCTGCTAGCTGGAATTTTGATTAGAATTGTAATGAATCTATATATAAATCACTTTTGGGAGAACTGATATCTTAATAATATTGAGTCTTTTAAGTCATAAACATGGTTTCTCCATTTACTTCTCCTTGCAGTTCTATCATTTTTGTCTCAAGTATTTTGAAGCTTTGATCTAAGTATTTAGGATTGCATGTCCTCTTGATTAACTCTTTTTTAGTATTATGAAATTATTTTCTTTATTTGTGGTAATATTCTCTCCTTTGAAATCTACTTTGTCTAATATCATTTAGTCACTCTACCTTTCTTTTGATTCGTGATAGCATGGTCTGTCTTTCCTCATCTTTTAACCAATGTGCCTTCATATTTAAAGTATGCTTCTCTCAGACAGCATATAGAGAGAGTTCACTATTTTATATAATCTGAAACACTTGCCTTTGAATGAAGGTATTTGGGCCATTTACATTTAATATGATTGTTGATATGGTTAAATTTAAACCTCTGATCTTACTATTTATTTTTGATTTGTCTCTGTTCCTCTTTTTCTCAATTTGTTTTCTTTTGAATTGAGTATATTTTTTATTAAATTATTTATTCTAATTTGTTATACATGATGGCAGAATGCAATTCATTTCATATTACAAATATAGAAATCAATTTTTCAAGTCACTGATTGTACACAAAGTATTTTCACACCACTCATGTCTTCATACATGTACTTAGGGTAATGAAGTCTAACTCATTCCACCATTGTTCCTACCCCTTTGCCCACTCCATTACCCTCCCTCTGGTTTGCCCTTTCTAAAGTTCCTCCATTCCTCCCATGCTCCCCACCAATGCCACTGAGTCAGCATTTTCATATAAAAGAAAACTTTGACCTTTGGTTTTTTGGGATTGGCTAACTTCACTTAGCATTATATTCTCCAACTCCTGGATTGAGTATATTTTTATTATTCTATTTTATATCCTTCATTGGCTTATTAATGATAGTCCTTTTTGCTATTTTAATGTTTGTTTTAGAGTTTACAGGATACATGTTTAACTTATCAAAATCTTCCAAGAAATGTACCATTTTTATATATAAGAACTTCACAATACTTATATTTTTTAAAGATTTATGTAATAAAAATATCATATATTAACCATATAGTTAACATTTTCAGTACTCTTCAGTCCTTTATGTAGATTCCTGTTTCCTTCTGGTCTCTTTTCTTCTGTCTAAATGATATCATTTAACATTTCTCATAGTGCACGTATATAGGTAATGAATTATTTCAGCTTACTTAAACACTCTTTAATTGGTCTTAGTTTTTGAAAAGTATTTTTGCTGGATATAGAATTCTAGGTTTATAGTTGATTTTCCCTCTTAGTTTGTTAAATATGTTAATTCTACTGCTTCTTCCCTTTCATTGTTTTCAAGGAGAAATCTGTTGCCTTTGTTACTTGGTATATAATGAATATTTTTCCCTCTGGCTGTTTTATTACTCACTGGTTTTAAGCAATATGATTATAATGTGCACTTGTATATTTTTGTATTTGTTGTGGTTAGGGTTGATTATACTTTTTGAATCTGTGGTTTTACAATTCCCCTTAGGTTTGGAAAGTTTTTGGTTCTTATTTCTCCAGATGTATCCTTGTTCTCCATTCTCTCCTCCACTGGGACTTAAAATTAAATGTATATTAGGTCACTTGCAAGTTGTCCCTCAATCCATTGATTCTTTTTTGTCTTTTCTTACTATGTTTTGTTCTAGATGTTCTTATTGCAGTGTCTTCAAATTCACTAAGCTTGGCTGTGTAATGTCAACTTTGATATTAGTCCTATATTTCTTTTTTTCACACTATAGTTTTCATCTCTGGAAGTTTAAGACTTTTACCTCTCTCCTCTCCCTTACTTAATTTTTGAGTGTATATAAAACAGTTCTAATAACTTTTTAAAAATATTCTTTTTAATTGTTGATGAACCTTTTTATTTATTTATTTATTTATTTATTTATATGTGGTGCAGAGAATCAAACCCAGTACCTCATACATGCCAGCAAGTGCTCTACCGTTGAGCCACAACCCCAGCCCTCTAATATCTTTCAATGACGTTGCCAATTAATTTTAACATCTGTATCAGTTCTGCAGTGGTTTGACTTTATTATAAACTTTATTTCTCTGCTATTTTGCAGGCTAAGAATATAGATTGAATCTATGGGCAAAATTTTATAGAGGCAAATATAAAATCCCAGTTCATTTTGAATCAGTAAATAAAAAAATAAGATGGAAGAAATATGATTTATTGGGAGAAATATGATTCAAAAAGCAGCATGTGAGAAAGACTGTTCATTACTGACCAAGGCTATAAGCTAAATAGAACAAAGTGATGCAAATGCCCAAAAGCTAATTCAGTGTGTTACTAGGAAAAAATATTCTAGAGTGAGGATAATAATCATCTTCCTCTAACATGAATAGTCAAATCACAGTAGGACACTATAGATGTAGATCCTTTAGGATGAAATTGACTAACTCAGGAAAGAGTTTTTCATATAAGAAACGACCAAAGAAAGCGAGGATCTTTACTCCTAGAGAAGACAAATGTAGCATCAATATGATAGTGAGCTTCAGCTATATACTTCAAGAAAATAATTAGCTATTTTTTTTCCTTCTGGAAGAGATACTCTAACAGTAGATAGGTACAGTAAGTCAATTTTGGTATAAGGTTAGAAAATGTTGTTTATTAGATGTCTGAAATGCAATGGGTCTTACGTATAAAATATTTCAAAAGAAAAATGAATAGTTAAAACAAAGATTGGATGAGATATGGATGGAAAATGCTCAACATATGGTGTTACTGGAGTCCTAGGCTAGGGTCCTGACTCCAGTGGTCCCAAAAAGACCATGTTTGGCCACTTGTCCCAAACACCAAAGAGAAAAGGTACATGAAAAGCAGGAAAGGATACTTTAATCAATAAGGCCATGCTGGGAAGGCAAAGTGAGATCCAGCTTCTCAGTCCTATCTTCAGAGCACACATGAGTATAGGTTTAAACAGAGGATGGAATGAGGTAGGGGACAAGAGGTCTGCATAATTAAGCAGATTTGATTAAACTGTGGTTTAGTTGTTCATTCTCTGAGTTCTGTTTCTATTAGATAGTGCCAGAGATGTCTACCACTTGAGAGGGCAATTTCCTCTTGTTGCTCAGGAAATTTATCCACCAGACCTGTAATCCTAGAAAGGGGTAAAGAGGGCACACTTCAGTTCTCATGAGATGGATGACAGTTCCTGCTGGGGGCAGGGGGCAGTCTCATCATGGGATGTTATGGTTTAGCTATGAGGTGTCCCCCAAAAGCTCATGTGTAAGATAATAAAAGAACGTTCAGAGGTAAAATGATTGGGTTATGAAAACCTTAATCTAATCAGTAGGTTAATTCACTTGAATGGATTAACTAGGTGGTAACTGTAGGCAGATAGGGTGTGGCTGGAGGAGATAGGTCCCTGGG